TTCTGGAGGACGTCTGCACGCATTTTAGGGACTATTCTAAGCAATACTGCTTTATAGAACAACCAGTTGCTTTTGGGATCAACTGCGGCAGCTACAAACGCCACGACAATTCAGCTTGATTGCACCGTGAAAACTCTCACGAGAAATCGGTTGTCCGTCCCTTAACGCATAACCTTCAGTCCTTTAACGCATAAGACTGCCATGGAATCTGGAGTCAAAACACTCGATTTGTGCGGCTAGTTGGTGATTTAAAGGCCCTCAATTACAGAGCACCGTGATTTAACTAGTCAACGTCACTATCAGCAACAGCACAAACGATGTGTGCAGTGGCGCATGTGCATGTGCTGCTTTGAGGACGCATGGTTGTTACTTCGCTAATTCGCAAATGCAAGAATAATGGCGTTCAAGGCATTTCGTAGAGTCCTTGCCATATACGCATTCGAGGATAACTTTAAACGGTCAATGTTGTGCGCACACACGCTCCTTTATTAGCTGCACGGGTCTGGTGTCCACTGAGAACCAATGCGAGGCTAGCGATTAAGAGAGCGGTGCGTACGAAGCCAGATCACGCTATCGCAGCTCTACTCTTTGAACTGAAGCTCGAGATTGCTGCAAACTGTTTGGCAAGTCTTTATACTAAACGGTACAAACTTCACAAAACAGTTCACATGCACCTGCTCACCATAATATAATCGAAACACGAGTGTCAATGTTAAAGAAAAGGTGGCGTAATCAGCGCATAAACATTTATTGTTTTTTTTTTCAAAAGTTGACAGTTATTTTTCTTTTTCTGAGTTGGCCGCCCTACGAAATGAGTTAGCCGCTCATTACGAAATGAGTTAGCCGCTCTACGAAATGAGTTTATGAGTTAGCCGCTCTACAATTAGCCGCTCTACGAAAGGTGCGCCCACCATGCCTTTGTACTCTTTCATTGCTTGTTTTATTGCTTTATGTGTACGTTGAAGCGTGCAGAGATAGGGACTGCAATATGTATAATGCCAACAATCTATCATCAAACAGTACATCTATAACGAAGTATGCAGTAGCAGTGCTATACTTAAAGGGACACTAAAGTAAATAACATTTTACGTAAGAGTGAAAGCTCAATGTATGACAACACCTGAAACGACAATATTATCAACAGTGCCCTACTTACCGAGAAATTAAGAAAAAGTACAAGAACACAAGCGCCGCCGTAGGACATTTTCAAAATGATCCCGATGACATCAGACGGACCGCCTACAATTAATCACTAGTAATCGATCTAACTGCACTAAATAAACAACGCTCTGTGCATTAAGAGACGCAATAAAATGCTGCTTGTTCGTTTCGGTTTGATTCATGGAAAAAGAACCGCCGGACGTACTATGGAGAATGGCGCGAGTGGTTCAAAAATTCTATTTTCACGTGGTTACACGGGACAGATGGTGTCATCTAGCGGGGCGCAGTTGAAACAAAGCGTCTGCAATCTCAAAGCCCATGGCGGGAAATTGATCAATGGCAGTTGTTGCGGCTGTGGCTCCCACTGCTTTCGGTCTGCTGCTGCTAGCGCAGTAAAGTCGGGCAACGTTGTGCACGGCAACAGTGACGTGAGACGGTCCGGTCAGTCCGCTTCTTGAGGCGGGTAATTTGAAGTGCGCTACTCGACGCGGACCACTAAAACGTGATTTTATTTCAAAATAGGTTCTTCCTTGGCACAAAAGTAATACTACGAGGTTTCAGAACCGCCATTTCAACAATAAACGTTGACTCAATAGTTGACTTTAGTGACCCTTTAAGGCAGTGTTTCTTGTACTGAGATGGGATACAGCTCAGAAAACATAGGGCCTATACAAAAAAGAAGAGAAAAACTACAGCATACGATCCTTAGAAATGGCAAAGAATGACATCAACGTAAATTTAGGATTGAAGAAAGCCGTGGCGCGTGGACTACGACGCCAAGCTGTCTGCCGTAATCTGAACAATTGAAATGTCTGAATGTACACTGTAGTCCTTTATAAAAGGGAACACGCGAGTGCGTGGCCTGCGCTTTGCGGTGGCTGCACAGGACCTTCATCAACTGACAGCAAAATTAAAGACGTTAGCTCTTGGCGCCATCTATTGGCAAACACAACAACGTGTTATGGCCGCTGGACAAGTGCTGCAGGATACTGTAGGCAGCCGTTGTAGAGAGCAGGTCACACGACCGCGTGTTCCCTTTCATAAAGAACGACAGAGTACCATGTTTTTAAAGTAAAAGCCGCCAAATGTGTCTTCGTGCTCATTCACGTCGAAGTTTCGCAAATGTGCGCCTGTCTCTATCGTGGGAGCTCTTGACGAGCTAAGGAAAGCACGCGTAATTTGGAACAGTCATGCAGCACGAACACGTTGTCATACCTTAACAAGGCTTCGACGGGTTCTTTGCAGGTTCACCTATTGCCCGATGGTGGGACGCGGTCGGGACCTGAAATTCGACCAGCTCGCACGTAGCCTTTCTCTTCTTCTTGTTAAAGTAACGGACAGGCGCACATGCCCCACGTGGTGAATTACATTTCTTCGTCGTCAAGAAGGTTTTTCTTTCATGAAAATTGGCTCATTTTTGCTGATAATAAAGCGACACTAAAGAGAAAACTGGTTTTTTTCGCATTGATAAACTGCTCTTTCCCGATATCAAAAACTAACACATTTCATGCAGTGAGACGTTTAGAAAAACGATAAAACGAAAAAAAGAAAAATTTGGTGGTGGTGCCGTCCTGTAATGTTTCCGAAGCAGTAACTCTGACCCCACAGATTTTCACGGCATCTGCTGGGAGCTACACACTTTCTAATCGGTAAGAAGTTAAAAACATTGTCTCTTGCGGCAGTCAGAAACGCAAGATACCAAGTTTCATGAAATTTCATGGTGACCCTTTAAATCCGTAACTTCACTATTGGATATCATGGCGGGAAGTTTAAAGGTGGCACATCTCACCGATTTTTTTTACTAATAATAAACCTAAGTAAAATTAAGGACATTAGATTTTTCGAAGTCTAATTTACCACTAAGTGTTAAGTTACGGCTTTACCTAAAGGCCCCTTTAAATTAAAACAGGCGCCCTTATGCCTCCAGCAACTTTTTGGCAGGGTCATATATAAAACCAGAAATATACTGGGAATGACGAAAAAGTTGAACCGAGCCAAATTTCAAAGTTCTGTAAATTGATTTTGTTTTGCTTTTTAACGGGTGCCACTTTCCTATTTTTGGGGAGGAGTGTATTCAGTCAACTTAAGGTTGCTTTGTTCCATAAACTACGATTGTACTTGACATCGCAGTTACTACAAAATGATGAAGTTTTAGGGGCGAAGCTCCTTAAAGCGTGGATCTGTACATCCTCCTATCTATGTAGTTGTAGTAGGTGGCCACCGGTGGCACATACCAGCTCTAGAGCGGCTATGTGCCACAGGTGATGCGAGATGGCAGTACTTGGAGTGTGCAATAGATGGACGCATGGATGGACAGACACACAGACTAGCAGACGGACGGATTGACTAACGGACGGACGCATGAACGGTCGTGCGGACGGACGGAAGCAAGAACGGACGGACGGATGGAAGCCCAGACGGGCTGCCGGACGCTTCGCCCCTCTCATCATCATTCACTCCGTAGATATGCTGTGATTTTTTTTTTTTCGTAGCTAGAACAGCACGAGAAAACTTGGGCGCCAGGAAAGAAACAGACGAAAGCAACGTTTGAACTTGTCCAACTTTCAATAAATTGGAATTCAATAACGTACTGCGCTACTGTAAAAAAAGCTTAGAAAATATGTTCAAATGCAAGTTCAACTTTCAAATGCAACTTTCAAATGCAAGTTATGATATTAGCCTTTCTTGCCTCGCCGCGGTGGTCTAGTGGCTAAGGTACTCGGCTGCTGACCCGCAGGTCGCCGGTTCGAATCCCGGCTGCGGCGGCTGCATTTCCGATGGAGGCGGAAATGTAGGCCCGTGTGCTCAGATTTGGGTGCACGTTAAAGAACCCCAGGTGGTCGAAATTTCCGGAGCCCTCCACTACGGCGTCTCTCATAATCATGTGGTGGTTTTGGGACGTTAAACACCACATATCAATCAATCAATATTAGCCTTTCTTCCAATGCACCAAAACACCCAGTCAACATTTTCTTTTTAACCGAGGTTCCTTACGAAAGGAACGTTTTATACGAAGACAATGAGCAGCCTTAAACTGGAGTTTCATGTATAAAATTCCATAATGTTTAGAACTCCGTAGCAGCTCAGAAGGTGCAATTTTACACTAAAACTGTACTACATCTTCCAATATACAGTTGAACCTTGCACAAGCGATCATAGCGCTCTGCAAATGATCAGAATTCTATAACGCCACCTAATACGATAGATTAGGATGACATACCTGTTTGGCCTGCAAAAAGCGTCAATATACCAGGTGCCAAAGGGTCATTTATAATACATGTCCAGCGTTTGCTCTCTTTCGTTAAACATTATCTCAGAGCTAACCCGCCATTCTAGCCGGGCGTCAGACAATGCTCAAGGGTGACTACGAGATCTAAAAGCGTCACTGCACAACAGTAGCACCACGCTCCAGAAACATCACAGACTCCGTTTTCGGCAACTGAATGGAGCGTGCCTTCTCTTATAAAAGAACTGTGCTCGCTGCAAACGCGTATACTCAAAGTAGAAACGAGAGCACGGAACTGGCCCGAGGGAAACAGGATGGACATGCATTATCACTAAGACACGAAACTCAAGCCATGAGAGGCTGGTCATAACATACGAGCGTTATCGCAAAGATAACGCACGTGGAAGTCTGCTTGCCGGAAAGCACTTTGTCAGTGACGTCACGAGCTGAGAACACCACTCATACGATAGAATTTATGAACCGAAACCTTTTGTACGCTGAAATAAAATACCGCACTGCTCATCACGACACGAATGACTCCACTAGCCTGAAGCCATGCTCGAGGCATAATTAAAATGAAATTGGCAGATTGGACAACCAAAAGCAAGGCACGTGAATAAAAACGCTCGCTTTATTGTCAACTGCATATAGAAGCCGCGTCGATGCAAAAGGTGCATGCGAAATAAAATGCTACCGCTGAAGTTGCAAGATACATATATAAATATAGATTCACCTTGAAGAAAGAAGAAAATAGTCACACCGTAATAGTTCATCAATCGCCGTGCAATAGTTGCAGAGAGCCCGTGGTCGAACGCTCGAGAGCAGTCGTAGATGCGTCCGTGGAAGACGTGTAGATGGGCCCACGGGACGACGTGGTTCGTTCCGATGTGCCGGTAGCCTCGGTCAAGTCTTCCATGGTTCCGGACCTAAACCAAATAGTGAATATACTAGAAAGCGCAGTAGTGGTGGACACATCGGATGCCCGAGTAAGTGTGACCTCGGTGACGGGCGTGGTAGGCAAGTCAGCAGTGCGGCCAAGAAGATTAGCATCAGCGGCCGTTGACGCCGATTGCGACGTAGCATTGACGAGCTCGACGGGGGACGACGTCGTAGCGTTGTCCTGGCCAGGGTTTGAGAAATGCAGTGACGGCACATTGACGTTGGCTGGGACACTGGAGGACAGGTTCACGAGAGGAATAGGGCCGGCGTGTACTGCGGGTACCAAGACAGGAACCGAGACTACGGTCATGGGCGCAGCTTGGTTCGGAACTGTTTGCGGGAGCTGGGGAACATGAGGAGGGTTCCCAGGGTGGTTGTGGACTTGCCCTTGAGTGCCGTGATGATGGGCGTGCCCACCATGCTGCGTGTGCTGATGCTCGACGTGGTTGATGCCAGCATGTTCGTGATGGTTGTGAGCCGCGTGGGCGTGGTGGGCCATGCCAGCATGCTGGTGCTGATGGTCGTGATGAAGAGCAGGGTGTTGGTGCGATTGGTGCATCTGCGACGTACGGTTGAGCCAGAGCGATGTGTTCTGCAAAGCGGTCACGACGGGGCTGATGATGCGTTCCACGGCCGTCCTGACGCGGGAGTTGAGGCTAGACAGGGCCTCTTGCGGGCCCGAGGCGACCGCAGATGTCATGATCGATGCCGAGCCAACCCAGGGTGTGGCGTGAGAGGGCTGCGCACCGGACTGGCCAACAGGAACCTTGACGACTTGGCAGACAAGCATGGTGGCCGAAGAGTCGCCACCTGCCTGAATCCCGTGGTTTGTGGTATCATGTTGAGCACCTAGTGAGGCGTGATTATGGGCGTCGTGAGGGTGAGCAGGGTGCTGCGATGAACCAAATGTCCTGGCAGATGGCCTGCCGTGCACCGCCACAACGAGGGCGGCAGCGGCAAACAAAAACAGGGTAGCGTACTGCATTTTCGTGGTTCCGAGCTCCTGCGTAAAAAACCAAAATCGAAGAAATTCTTAAAACTCGCAACGTGCTCATGAAGGCGCAATAGACACAGTGGGAAAAAAAAAGAAATACCGGGAGGCTGTACGTACCGTTCACGTTCCAGCGGCGTAATTCCGGGAGTGTCGCTCGCTTTCAGAAAGCGAGCCGTTTTATACGCTTATGTCGGCCGCATGGAGCCCTTCAATTGGCTAAGACACATCACGAGGTGATAAGCATTCCTATCAATTCACCGTGACATATAATCACGCCCATACACGCCTCTTCGAAAAAAAATGCGAGCATGTTGTTTTTTTTACTTTTTTCTTTTGCTATGCTAACCTAATCTCAAGTTAGCGCATTTCTTGAAGTACTCTGAGATATCACGTTAATCGCTTTTAGAGTTAGGAAAAGCGTCACACCTCAATCGCAGAGCGACGGTCAATATAATTTTAGTTGGCACACTGCCTAATAAACCAAGCAGACAACAACTTCAATTCCTGCGAGGGCCCGCTCGTATCTCACAAGTCTATTTGGTTATTAATAGCTGTTAAATGAAACTGATGCAGGACTGCCATATTTGTTGACCTATTTATAGTCATATAAGGCGGCTGCACCCAACATGATGTCGATGGCGCACAACTTGGGCAGAATCTCCGTAGAGAGCACAGAACTCGACGCTTTCAAGGCGTTCACCGTTACGTGGAGTCGTGCGATTGTACGGGAAATCTCAGCGGCACTTTCTGGTGATCCGCATCGAGAGCCAGAGCCGGTATCTGCCGAGGACGCCGGGACTCACGGCGGCACAACCCGTAGCTAAGGACGCGTGGACGGTGACCGGGGAGGCTGATTGGACGATAGAATCCCGTTCACGGGATCCTCGTAGATGGGAGCATCAGCTGCGTTCCCAGACGAGAGGAGCCCGGGTGGTGCCTTGGCAAGAACTGGTGTCGTGGTGCAGATAAGTGGAGGTAGAGCCGCCTAGGAGGCCTGGACGCTGTGCCCAGACGGCGTTTGCAGCGCCGGAAAGTTTTGACGTGACGAGGAGGCATAGACGTCGTCCCTGGATTGTGCTTGGTGGGGTAGTTGAAAATTATTTATTTTATTTTAAATACCTCGAAGGCCCCAGCTGGGGTATTAGATGAGGGATGGGTATTATTGATTACAGAAAAAAGTGACTCGAGGGCAATCTTGAATTGATGAGGGTCAGAGTGATGCACGGTATATGCAGGCAGACGGTTCTAGTTCCGTGCGTTTGAGACAAAAAAAAAAAGAGTAAAGATGGGCATAGTTTGTGTTGGCGGAGGGTATACTGCTATTGCATGGTTTGTGCGGCTGGATGTGCGATGAACTGGCAGGACAGCTGGAATTTTGATGGGAGCATGATAAAACTTATTAAACAGGCATAGTCGAGATACGAGACATCGTGTCTCTTGATCAGAAAGGTGAGCCCGGGCTTTAGGTTGGAAACACTGGAATTATAAGAATACTCAGAATAGATAAAGCGTGCAGCGCAGTTTTTGATCGATTTTGAACGTTGGATAAGTTAGATTGATGGGGATTCTCAGGTAGAGCATGCATATTCTAATTTCGGATGAACAAGCGTAGTATACGATATTAATTTGACTGATGAGGGTGCAAGTCTTAAGTTTCTACGCAGAAAACCCAGAGTGCGATTCGCGGAATAGACTATATTAGTGACGTGAGCTGACCAGGAAGTGTAACTTGAGATTGTGACGCCGAGGTACTTATAGCATTCAGCGGATGAGACTGCGTAGCCGGAAATGGTATATTGTACTGACTGGTAATGGGGCCTGCGATGGAACGATACCAATGAAGTTTTCTTTACGTTTAAAGACATTGCCCACTTATTACACCACGATAATATAAGGTGGAGGTCGGTTTGTAATATTTTAATATCTGCGCTGGACGGTATACGACGCAGTCGTCTGAAAAGAGGCGAATGCTAGAAGAAATGTCTGATAGAAGGTCACTGATATAAATGAGAAAAAGTAATGGGGGTGGGAGTCTGGGCACTCTACTTTGCGGCACACCAGAGATTACAGAGGAACGGCTAGATTAGACAAAGTTATTTAGCATGCACAAACTATAGACAATTGGTAAGAAAGTTTCGAATTCAATAAATACATTTGAAATAATGTTTAAACGAGAAAGTTTTAGCAGCAGCCAGTTATGTCGAATCTTATCGAAAGCTTTTTTCAATGTCTGAGAAGAGGGCGTCAACACTTATATATGTTTAAATCAAGGGTAAAGCTAATATTGTAATAAAATAGACCTAGCTGCATGTCGCACGAAAATCCTGAGCGAAAGCCATGCTGCTTAGAATAAAAAAAGATTATTACTCGTTAAGAATTTGACGATGTTATAGAGTAGATTACACGCTCCATTAGCTTGGAGCAAACGCTGGTAAGGGAAATGGGGCGATAGCTGCTGCAAAGAGATGAAGGAACTTTTTGGGGGACTGAGACAATGTTGCCCACACTCCCGTCTTCCGGCACCACTCCTGATAATAGTGACTGCTGAAAAATATGGCAAAGTAGTGTACTAACAATTGATTTTGTGTTTTTGAGTATTCTTGCGTTGATACCATCGATGCCGCATAAAGATGAGAGTTTTTATGAGTCTATGAGTTTAGCAACGCCGTTTGGGCAGAATGTGATGTCAGGCATCACACTGTGGTTGTAAATAGGGAATGAAGGCAAGTTGTCGACAGGTTCATCGATAAACACGGAAGAGAAAAAGTTGTTTAGTTGTTCAGCAGCATCATGATCGTGCAGGAATTGGATGGTTCTGATCGTTGTACAGTGCTAATGGTTGGGAGTTGCCGGAGTTATTTGTGTTCCAGAATTTTTGGGGACTGTTGCTTAACATAACGGGTAGTGCTTGTGAAAAATAAAAGACGTTTTTCTTTGTCAGCAAGTCTTTCGAATTCTTTTTTTTTCTGCGGCGTAGTAGCTGTTCCATGCTCCTGCGCTATTGTACCACTTTGGTGATCGAAATAGCCGTTTCATTTTATTCTTTAGGCGTACGGGTTTTCTGGCCGAGGAAGCGTGCACGGCTTTCCTTGTATGGCGGCTCAGGAACGCCGAGGACACACGAGCACAGGTGGTGTCCACTTTGAGGTGGCGTTTTCGACAACGGCGCCAATGTAAAGGAACGGGACTCAGATACAGCACCCGTTCACTTGGAAGAAAGAAGGAAAGAAAGAAAGAAAGGAAGAAAGAAAGAAAGAAACAAAGAAAGAAAGAAAGAAAGAAAGAAAGAAAGAAAGAAAGAAAGAAAGAAAGAAAGAAAGAAAGAAAGAAAGAAAGAAAGAAAGAAGAAAGAAAAGCCTTGAATCTGTGGCACACACCAACGCTGGGGGATTGGCCAAGAACCGAGTAGTTCTCACAAAATACTATGGTTACTTTGTTAGCTCGCGTCTTTTAAACTAGTAAGAGAGATCAAGAAAAAAAATTAAATATGAGAAATGGACAATAAAAATAACGGATATAGAAAATGAAGCAGATAATTTCAGCAACAACAATAAATAAATAAATAAATAATAAATAAATAAAGCACTTCGGAAAAAAGGTAATTCAGAAGTGATATTCTGTTCTACAGTCTGAATTTCTTCGAAGCTTTAATAAACGACAAACATCAGCAACTTTCCTGTCACTGAATCCTAGGGACAAAGGCCCGAAAGAAAGTACATTTGGAATGTTTAACTCCAATCTTACGCGACGGAAGAAGGCAACTAATGTAATTTAGCGTAATGTGGTGGATCTTCTAGAATATATTAGATAATGGTCTCTTGTCTCGGGGACTCCACAAAACCAACGATTAGGGGAAGCAGCCAGAGCGGCTCTGTAGGTCAGCTGTTCTTTATCAAACTTACTTCTCCTTGTCTTCCGTTAGCCGAGCGGGCGCCAATGAATGCAACGCCTGTATTACTTTCTCATAATATTAAATTACATAAAAGTACCTATCCGGGACCAAATGGTGAAAGGCAATGGCGAAAATCGGACGAGAGTACCCATTTAATTGCTATAGCAATAAATGAAAGCAACACTTCAATATACTGTAGCGCATATGCAAAAGAATTTCACCACTGACCAGTTCTTCAACTACCGACTACGGTATACTCGGCGCTGGCATTGTCCAGATAAAATGCAACACCGAGGTCCTGGTCATCATTCCCGGCTGTGATAAAATTTACTGTAGGTCTAGCCAACAGTGCCAGAACATTGGTTTTAAGCGTAGTTTTGTGATGAAAAAAATTGTTCGGCTGAACAAATGTTTATCAATTTTGGCGGCTAAAAACACTTTGTCGACAGTTCCGCGATTTCAGTACTTTTAGAGCACCTAAGTAATGAAAAAAATGGCGCACATTTTAATCATACTATTTATGATTCTCAAAGCACAAGTGATGTACAATCTTAATAAATGATTTTTTCGTCTTGAAATGCTTTAGGGAAAAAATCACAAACCTGGGAAACCACACAAAATACGTCTATTTCAGGAAATTAATTATACAAACAACCTGAACGGAAAATAAATAAGCTCGGGAGGTATTAACATTATTACTTTCGCTATTTCTAAAGTATATAGCTAATGGTTTTATTACGCTTTATTTTATTCCTTGTCTCATCACAATCATGAAATACATCAAAAATGCCGAAGTTAAAAAAAAGTTTTTAAAGCCATTTCTATGTTTTCAGAAACCTATTGTTGAAATCAATGACCTCATCCACCATTCCGTGTAAACAAGAAAATGTTGCATTATTTTGGTTGCTGACGAGTTGTAACGCATCACATGCAACCAAGTCAGCCTTGCAGTCCGATCCATTCTCTGTGGGCTGAAAATCAGGATATATTGTTACGGGGAAGATTTATTCACCGAGAGCTGGTCTTGCTAACGGCTTAAAGAGCGCACAGTCATGCAGGCCAACGGGAGAAGCTCCAGAGTCTAACCCACTACAACCACGTTATCGTCTTCTTCATTTGGGTGCCAATTCAGCTGTATCTAGGTGACAGTTTCATACACGTAGCATCACCCCGGCCCGTAAGGCACCGTCTCGGTGCCTGTTAAATGAGCGAGTCGGCGTTGTAGGGCTTGAGACGAGAAACGTGGACTACTTCCGTTCTGGGTGCAGC